GAGGCTGCATGTGGGGTTGTGTGCATGTATGTGGATAGTTAGTGGTGTTGCGTTTGTTGGGATTGTGTGTATGTTTGTGTATGGGCTGTTTGTATTATTTGTATGAGGGGAGGGTTATTTCATTGTATATCTAGCAGTATGGGTGGCTTCCCTAGGTTCCAGTGGGGACCAGGCTGGTCAGGTATAGCTCAAATATAGGAGCTGCAAAAGCAACTGCAAGCTGCTCTACTACAGTGTGGATTCCCATTCACAAGTGCTGGGAGGAAGTGATCTGAGATCACTTACTCTATGTGCTGCAATGCATAAATTGAGGATTGTCCTTCACCACCTCTTCGTATTAGCAGATATCTGAAGTTTTACTGGGACTCCTGATAGGACAGAGCCTGTTTGGCTCTAGCAGCCTTGAGTGCCGTGCAAAGTCACCTCGAGTGCCATGCATGGCACTAGTGCCGTAGGTTGCCTACCCCTGCCCTAGTCACTCCCAAATGCCCCTAAGCCCCCCCATATTACCTATTTTTTTATCTTTATTTTCTGCCCTGATCTATATTCAGGGCGCCGCCATCTTTGTGTGGGTAGAGGAAGTCCCTGTGGGACACGTCATAAGCCCACACTAGATAGACTGTGAGATTCCCGGACATGCCCAGTGAAACACCTGGACATGTGAACGGGAATTTCATCTGTGTATCAGTGTTCGTTTGTTCGTTCAGTTTATTACAAGGAGGGAGCCACCGGCGTGCAGCTCCCTCCTTGTAATGTGTAAAAATAGAAGCGGCAGGGAGTAGTGCTCCCCGACACTTCATAAGCCCCCCAGGTTCCCCCTCATAATAGCACAAGTGAGATTAAAATATCCCCAATGCCCCTACTCGCTATACTGCGAGTAGGGGCATGTTCACTAAACAGTGAGCAGCCTTTGGCTGCTCACTGTAAAAAAAAACCCCACTATCTGGCCCCCACCCCTGAGCGGCGGGTGGGGGCCATAAATTACAATGGGGGGGGATGGGGACCTACTGTCCTCCCCCAGCCCTGGGTGGCGGGTTGGGGTCATAATGATAATGAGGGGGGGACCTACTGTCTTCCCCCCCCGGCCCCTGGGCGGCAGGTGGGGGCCATAAAGATAATGAGGGGGGGTGACCTACTGTCCTCCCCCCCCCGGCCCCCACCCCTGGGCGGCGGGTGGGGGCCCTAAGTCAAATCCCCCCCCCCATCAAAGTTGACTAGGGGTCCCCAAGCCCCTAGTCACCCACTCCCCTACATACGCCCCTCACCATAAAAATAGTGAGGGGAGAATAAAATTACTAACCTGTAAAGTAAAATTAAACTTACCATTCGACGTCTTCTTTTTTCTAAAATCTTAATTTTTCAGCCCCAAAAAAGGCCAAATAAAAAACCATCATAACCGTCGAACTTAAAATAAAATAAAAATCCAGAGCGCAAAAAAAAAAAACAGACGAAAAAGAAAAAACCAGAGCGCAAAAAAATAATCCATCTTCACCCATAGAGGGCTCCGTGCAGACTGAGCTCTATAAGGCTGGGGAAGGCTTATAAAGCCTTGCCCCGCCCTGCAATTAGGCTAAGAACACTCTGATTGGTGAGTTTAAGCCAATCAGAGTGCTCTTTGTCATTTTACACAGCGTGGGAAAATTCCAAAGATCTTTCCCACGTTGTGTAAAATGACACAGAGCACTGTGATTGGATGGATTTCAAGCCATCCAATCACAGTGCTCTGTGTCATTTTACACAGCGTGGGAAAGTTATTTAGAATTTTCCCACTCTGTGTAAAATGACACAGAGCACGACAGTTCGGCATGACAGTGCCGCTTTTATAAGGTTTTGATTAGGTTATCACCTGAACCAAATCTTTTTTAATGAGGGGAAGTATAAAAACCACTGGAGTGGTCATCTCTCTCGCAATAGGACCAGCTGGATGGCAAAAACTGTGCTTGTAGTACCTTAAAAGTAGCTGGAATAAAAAAGAAAATTACTGGCAGAGGGATACAGTAAGTATCAGGCAGTAATGACCCTTCTCTGGCCGTGATGACCACCAGCTCATACGACTGTCACTCAACAACTGTAGAATGACATAAAGTGACCTACAAATATAATAGCAAATGTCAGCTGAGGTGAAGTGCACTGCAAGAACAGTTTGAAACAAACTCATAAGAGCAGGGCTGAAGTCATGCAAAGCTAGAAAAAAACAGTCCATCAATGAAAGGCAAAGACAAGCTAGGCTGACGTCTGCCAAAGTCCATAAGAATTTGAGTAAGGTAATCTCTGATGGGTCCAATTTCCAACTTTGCCCAAGACTTGATTGTATAATGGTTAAATTGAGACCCGGAAAGTCTCACAAGCCACGCTATCTTTCACCCACTGTGAAATTTGGTGGAGGATTAGTGATGATAACAAGGTTATCTTGGAAGAAAATGTGCTTCCTTCTGCTGTGACGAAGTTCTGTCAACTGAGGATTGGTTTATTCAGCAGGACAATGCTTCATGCCACACAGACAGGTCAATCAAGGTATGCATTGAGGTCCACCAGATCAAGACTTTGTCACTGCCAATGCAATCTCCATACCCGAAACCCATTGAATACCTCTTAGGATCAATAGGAAAATGATTGGTCACAGGCCATTAAAACAAAGTTGCTTGAATTTATGCACCAGGTATGGCATGAAGTCACTCAATAGCAATGTGAAAGACTGGTAGAGAGCATGCAAGGATGCGTGAAAGCTGTGAAAGAAAATCAGGGTTATTCCAACAAATATTGATTTCCGAACTCTTCCTAAGTAAAAACATTATTTAAACATGAATACCTATTTGTTTTCCTTACATTATTCAAGGTCTTCAAACATTGCATCATTTTTGGTATTTTGAGCAATTCTAATTTTCTGCAAATAAATGCTCAAAATAACAATATTATTATTTGGAATTTGAAAGAAATTTTGTTAGTAATTTATAGAATTTTTTTTATATATATTTTACTCAAACACATACCTATAAATAGTAGAATTCGAGAAATTGATAATTTTGTTGTGGTCTCCTAATTTTTTTCCAGAGCTGTAAATACAGGTTTGTGTGTGTGTGTGTGTGTCAGGACATACAAATCAAATTTATTTTAATCCACACATGAAAATATCTATACTTCATGGATTTACCTGTTATGTCTCTACTAAATAGAGAAATCTGTGAGATATGATGCCGCATCAATAAATTGAAGTGAATCAACACAGATCACGATATGTTAGTATGGGTGGCAACAGACAGAGAAGTGGGCTTAAGCCAATCTGTGGTTCATTAGGCCAACCAAAAATGGAGATAAAAGTAAAGATAATGATCTCACACAGAGAAATACAATGGGAAAGGTTTCTTATTTTTGCAATACTCTGACACAACATGAATAATATATTGCAGTGGCGTAAAAAGAGAGAGTCTTCTAACAATGATTGCTGATCCTAGTAAATGAGCCTTACTGAATATAAGAGTTGCAGTGTGAATGTAGTGGCCCTGTAGGTCTAGCTGGCTATGTCAAGGCCTGTAGTATGAATGCACTACTGTCAGATGTAAGAGGCCGTGGTACAATATATGAGGAGTGTCATGTCTCAGACATTTACTATACATAGCTATGTGGGATTGCTTTATTAAAAGATTCATGACTTTGGTGAGTAAAGGTAGGAGAGGTGGATATTAGTGGGTGAACTGAGTGTTGAGATCTGGGGGTTGGCCATAAACTGCTCAAGCATGATGGACATGCATCTCAATCCAAGTACAATAAATTAACAGCTTTGCCTGAGGCAATGGCATGGACTATCCACACACTGTCCTGATAGGTCAGTTCAACATCCACAGACTCCCTCTTGGACTGTGTTCTGCAGCAGTCTAAGTCCAAGTAGGTAAGTATAAATAAGTATAAAGTTAGCAGAATAAGAAAAATCTGTATGAGCAAGAACTTGTTACAGACATGTATAATGCCAGCCTGTTGGCCCTAGTGATGTTGCTGGCAATTAATTTCACTCCAATATGGTATTGATGTCTGGTGAACTGGTGTTGTTTTCGAGACTAATTAGATAGAGACTCTTTAGGCCAATAAACAGCTCAGGCTTGTCCACCTGCTCATTGCTCAGCAAAGGAGGCCACTAGTAAATGGCTCAGTAGAAAATAAATTGTGAATGGTGGTGGATTACTTTGACTTGCTTAACAGGGTCCTACAAGTGTGTTCATTCAATAAGCAAATTAATGTTTAATGAGATAAACAGAATGTGATAATACGCAATGTCAATAGGCTGATATGCATACATTTCTGTGACATTGTGCACCATATTTTCTTGCAGAAACCACTACTGGACTGATCGTGGCTGTGATCCTGCTATTGCTATTGGTTATTATTTTGCTGTTCCTCGTCTGTTGTTGTAGGAAACGCTATAACAGTAATGCAGTGTAATGACAGAACACCTTAGAATTATCTTAATTTTAAGATCACTGAATACAATCCAATAAGCCTCCTCCAACACTCACACTTCATCATACAATGAGATGAGGACGCAGAAAATAAGGCATGTAATAAACACACGAAAATGCCAACTTGGTTGAGGAGGCAATTTTATCATAGCTGCTGGTGCTAAATGTGTACATTTTGCAATTCAGGAGTGAATCATGAAAAAGTTTTGAATGAAATGGAAGTAAAATATGGATGTAAAACAATGTTTTATATAGGCCTAAGGAGAGATGTAAATATAAGAGTAGATAAGAGCTGTGATGGACAAATATCCTAAAAGCCAGTCATTCTAAGAGCTATTTATTGGAATATGAGCTTACTCCCTACACTCAAATCACAAATGTGCGACTGGCCAAACAAGCCGACTGGCAACAATAAGCAGAAGTTACATAGCAGAGAAAATGTAAGTAAAAAGTGGACTGTGGACTAACATGAAGAAATGAGTTTTGCTTGTTCATTAAGAATCTTTGGCCATAGCCTTACATCCACCTTGTGTTAACAAGCATGGAGACTCATCTTCTGCACAAGGAAAATTTATTTTTTTTTCAGACCTGCGTATAAGTAGCATAGTGCAATGTATACAGTTATAGACAGTTATATAGTGATATAAATGTTTAAACAATGAATATATGAAAAGATATTTAGGTGCAAACAGCCATATAGGGTATATAAGGGAGTTGGAGAATGCTTCTATATAAATGTTGCAAATATTGTTCTTCCTCATTCCTTCACCAATAAAATGTTCAGTTTCAGTTTCTATACATTGAGCAGAGGGAAAGTAAATGTTGTCAAGCTTCCCCTTAATAACACATTGTAGTCCATGAGGCTCACAATGTTCAGGGCTGTATTCTAGCATTCGGGGAGAGAAATGTATCTATCTATAGATACATTAAAGTATCTCTCTCTCTCTCTCTCTCTCTATATATATATATATATATATATTAAAGGCATTCTATTAATCTAATTCAAAAAAACTAAAAAAAACCTATTTTCTTAAAGTGGCACTGTCACTTTTAGCATCTTTGCAAAAAAAAACAACCTACATACCTGAAGTCCTCCCTCACGAGGGCTGCTATTTTCTTGGTGGCTCTATCTTTAGCTCCATCTGCTAGAAGCCTTCATAAATTATATGCTAATGCCATAGAGGGCAATAGAAGATCACAAAAGACTGCAAGAAGCTCAACAGAATTTCTGAGAAGATGCCTTTTCTCATAACTGTCATTATTAATCAATACTGGGATTTTACAAAACTTTTTGGTGGAGACTATGCCCAGGGAGCGTTGACTTGGACGCTGGCCCCAAGAGTGGTCCTGAAAAACCTTTCAAATGGAGTCACATCCAGAGTTGAATGTCCTTTTAAGTATCCTTTATTTTAAATGGAACTCAAGAAGTGTACTAGAGCCTGGGCCCCATACAATATTGAATCAGCTACACCCAGGACTCCCAGCACACAACCCTGCAGGACTTGCCATAAGCAGAGCCTCGGCCCAATGCAATATTGAATCAGCTACACCCAGGACTCCCAGCACACAACCCTGCAGGACTTGCCATAAGCAGAGCCTGGGCCCCATACAATATTGAATCAGCTACACCCAGGACTCCCAGCACACAACCCTGCAGGACTTGCCATAAGCAGAGCCTGGGCCCCATACAATATTGAATCAGCTACACCCAGGACTCCCAGCACACAACCCTGCAGGACTTGCCATAAGCAGAGCCTGGGCCCCATACAATATTGAATCAGCTACACCCAGGACTCCCAGCACACAACCCTGCAGGACTTGCCATAAGCAGAGCCTGGGCCCCATACAATATTGAATCAGCTACACCCAGGACTCCCAGCACACAACCCTGCAGGACTTGCCATAAGCAGAGCCTCGGCCCAATACAATATTGAATCAGCTACACCCAGGACTCCCAGCACACAACCCTGCAGGACTTGCCATAAGCAGAGCCTGGGCCCCATACAATATTGAATAAGCTACACCCTACATCTGCATATAAGTCATGAACAAAGGCTCCTAATATGTCTATGAGGTGTAAATATTTTCCAGCTTGTTTAAATAATGGTATTATAGCAGAATATACCTGTTAGCATTCTTTCTTATTTGTATTATGCCTTGTATATTGTTAACAATAAACACAATGTTGTTTATGATAGTCTTCAGTTTGATTTTTTTTATATAGAGAAACATCTGGGAAGCAAATGCTCCAAGGCTACTATCGTTTAACCCTTTAAGGATAGAGGAAATAATTCAAGTTCTGAAGCAAAGCAAAACTTAGAATGTGTGCTATGTGTTTGTTTTACTGGAGTTTAAAGGGTTCTCTTCAAATGCTCTCAGGTTATTGGGACATGAGAGTCTAAAAAGATTATTATGGCACTAGAAAAAGTCCAGACGAGCTGCAAAATTGATAAAAGGAATGGAGCATTTTAGTTATTAAGAAAGGTTAAAAAAATTAAATCTGTTTAGTTTGGAAAAACGGTGCCTGAGAGGGGATATGATAGCATTATACAAATATATTTGGGGCCAGTACAAACTTTCATCTGGAAATCTATTCATAAACAGGGCTATACATAGGACACTCTCGATTTGAGGCTGGAAGAAAGGAGATTTCATCTAAGGCAAAGAAAAGTTTTTTTTACAGTAAGAGCAATAAGGATATGGAATTCTTTGCCTGAAGAGGTGGTTTTGTGGTCAGAGTCATTACAGATGTTTAAACTGCAATTGGATAAATACTTAAACATAACATACAGGGATATAATTTCTAATTAGTGGGGTAATAGCTGCTTGATCCAAGGAGACATTTGACTGCTATTTTGTGGTCAAGAAGGAATTTTTTTCCTACTTTGTGGCAAAATTGGAAGCGCATCAGACTAGGTTTTTTGCCTTCTTTTGGAACAACAGCAAAAACAAATGTGAGGAAGGCTGAACTTGATGGACGCAAGTTTCTTTTCAGCTATGTAACCGCCAAAGACAAATACCCTTGCATAACCAATGCCACAATTATTGGGAAACTCCTTTATTAAATGCTTGGATAAATGCAAAAGGGTATGTCAACTAAATGTCTAAAAACTGAGGGGGTAAGTAAAGTAAATCACTAAATTATGGACCCAATTGGAATGAGTGCACTAGAGTATAAGAGCCCTGCTGACGCTGCTAAAAAATATTAATGTAATACTAATATCGCAACATTGTATCAGATTACCATTCATTACCAAAAGAGCAGCAAAAAGAAGTAGTAGGAGTAGGCTGGATAAAGAATAAAGGCAGGGAAATAGGTGCATAGCACTAACCTATCCTTAAAGGGACACTATAGTCACCCAGACCACTTCAGCTCAATGAAGTGGTCTGGGTGCCAGGTCCCTCAGGTTTTAACCCATCACACGTAAACATAACAGTTTCAGAGAAACTGCTATGGACGCTCTGCGCGAAGGAGGCAAAATTCTCCTCCAGCGTCGCAGATGCGCCTCTAGTGGCTGTCTTCTGGGTGGGGGCACCCTCAGGGCACTATAGTGTCAGGAAAACCGCTTTGTGCGCCTTCGTCCAGGGCATGTATTAAAGCGCCCCTTACTGAGCAGTATTTAAATATTGGTGCCCAAATCCAAGCCCCGCCCCTCTTGAGAGTTCCTCAAATCGAAAAAAGATGGTGGCATGGAGGGAATTGGACACACATTCCTTTGAGTCACGGGGAGTGAACTAGGATAGAGCACAGTAATACAGCCATATTCTAAGGAGATAATAAAATGATATGTTAACACCTGCAGTTTTGTTTGCCCGAAGTTCTTATATGATTATGAACAAAAATGACTGACCGGCTCTCAATAGAGTCTATATAGAAGTCAATGTTCATCAGAGATGGGATGTTAAAAATTAAAATGCCCCCGCCCCTTCGACTGGAGGAAAATATCTCTTAAATATCTGGGTATTAATCTAGCAAAGTCAGATTCACAACTAATTCAGGAGAACCATATACCCTTAACCCACAAATTACAGGCCCAATTAGATACATGGCAAGGTCTAGAGGTGTTATGGCTGTGGAGGATACATACTACCAACATGATGGTGCTACCCCATGCACTATACCTTTTCCGCCCTATCCCTGTGGAGCTACCAGATAAAATCCTAAAGAGATTCCAAACCATTTTCAACACATACATTTAAAAAAAATAACCCAGGAATAGCGAGGCGCTTAACTTGGCAGACACCCGCAAAGGGAGGCTTAGGTATCCCAAACGTGAAATCTTACTATAAAGCGGCGATACTGGCGCAGGGACTGGGAGTCCTGTCAAGTGCCAAGCCGCCGATCAGGCTTCACCTGGAAGATCCATGCTCACACCCAAACAAGTTAGAACACATGCTGAGGTTATACGCAAAATGGGACCCTAAACGACACCGACCCATATGTAGCACACGTTTTCTGATCCACGGCTGGGAGAAGTGGGCACTCACACTCACAGGAACAGACAACCTCATATTTTTTGCCCCCACAAATATCCTTTTGGCACTGAGGACATACCCATGGGACCATGGATAAAAAAAAGGCATAGAATCCATACATAACCTGTACACACCCAAGGTCTCAAGTCATTCCCAGAGCTGCAAAAAGAAATCGCCCTACCAGCTAAAACCATCTTCACTTACATTAGACTAAAGCACATAACAAATGCACACAACGTACACCAATGTAAAGAATCACGACTTACTAACTTTGGACTGCACTGCATAGGCAAAATTACAAAAGCAAAACCCCTCTCTCTATGCTACAATGCCATAAATGACACAGACCCACTGACCAAACACACCTATATAGAGCAGTGAGAGAAGGACTTTGACACCACCATCCCTACCCCACTATGCCTTCAAGCCATACAAACAACTAGAGCATCCTCCCACAGCCTCTCCCACTGGGAAGCATACTGCAAGCTCCTAATGAGTTGGTATCTGGTCCCGGTTCGGCTAGCACACATGTATCACAATGTTTCCCCTCTGTGTTGGCGGTGTGGCTTACACGCTGGATCTCTTAAGCACATCTTTCTGGATTGTCCCACATTGTTGACGTATTGGCAGCGGATAAATGAGGCTCTGTCCCTGATCTTGTCGAAACCAATATCGTTCATGCCAGAGTGCTACCTCCTCCACCTATCCCCCACTCTCTTCTCTACACACCAAAGGGTGGTTGCCATACACCTGTTGATGGCAGCAAAAACAAGTATAGCAAGCCATTGGAAAGGAGTTAATGTTCTATCATTCGTGGAGGTGTGGAACAGGGTGGAATCCACATATGAATACGAGCATTTGGCTTATAGGCTTAAAGGCAAGGAGGAGGTGCACACTAAAATGAGGACGAGCTGAAAAGACAATCGCCTGAAACTCAACCCCCATAGAACCTAGAATAACACAGTCATCCCACATTATATACATTCCAACACCTACCTGTTTACGCCACCTGATTTCAAATGACACCTAACTAGATACATACCGATACGGTCTTAGCTTGTACCGTTTGATTCATGTTACCCACCTCCTTTTTCCTTTTCTTTTCTTTATTTTTTCTGTTAAATTTATATCCGTCTCACACGCAGGATGTGCTACTACATCAACACCTCCAGGTACACATGAGCAACTCTAATACAATTACCTTGAGTTGGGCCATAGACACCAGGGTACTCAACAAAAGAGATAGGGGATCTCAGGTACAGCAGGGCTTCATCACTGATAAAGAGGAGAATAAGACTGGGAGACACAGGCACTATGCCAAGCTGGCGGAACACTCTACCAGGGATTCCACCTAGTCTAAATGGCAGCGATGCTCTGCAATACTTGTTGTATCTGTTGTCCCAGAGCGCAGCTGAAAATGCAAGAATTAGCACTGTTCCTGCAATATATACTCGCACCCCCACTAGGGGTCAAATTGTGGAAAAATATATACAAATACGGAAACATGAAAAAAAAAATTGTCAAAAAAAAAAAGAATTAGCACTGTTATGTAATATGTGAATTGTACCCTGTCCCATTTCAAGCTTGACTGTATGCCAGGATCTCTGTACACCTGTCTTCATCCTAAGTAGGTACACCATCAGCGATAACCACATGTAAATTTGTGTATCTCGTGTACTGTATATATTGTTTGCACTTTCCATATTGTTTTGTATGTACCTTGAAAAGCTATGTAAATTTCAACAACAAAAAAATAGATATTGGAAAAAAAAAAAAAAAAAACGAAAATGCCTGTGATATAAGGATTATAAGAGTACCTAAAATGGATGTCTAGCATATCCCCCAATGGGAACCAGGGATATTATTGATCAAAGGAGCATATCACTAACGTGATTTCTGATAGTGTCTTAGATTATAAAACATTAATTGTAAAATCTTCACATGAGAGAGAAAAGAACCCATTCTTGCATGGACATAATCAAGAATTATTCAGAAATCATCCTTAAACAGTGAATCTCAGGTTTATACTGTCCACTCTCACCCTGGAAACAGATAAAATCTTTATAAGGGTAATTCCAACTTGATTATATACTCAGGGTTAGGCCCTTGCTAGTTGGTAAATTCCCTGTTACGAGACCTTATTTTCTATTTTAGTTTTTTTCTTATTCATTAGGTCTTAATACCATTTTATACGTTTTGGACTTGAAATAAAAATCATAATAAAGATGACAGGTTTTCTATCACAAATACAGGACCACACAGTTTGAATAGGTACGTCTAAAAAATAGTAAGATCTGCAGAAATTAAATATAGTAAATGAAGATATAAGGAATAAATAAATATAAGAGGTAAACAGCGCGGTCGCCAGTCTGTGTGCTGCACGAAGGGTCCAACACGTGCAGCACTCCCCAGTCCTCTTAGATCTGCAGATCTTACTATTTTTTAGACGTACCTATTCATAGGACACCTTGGGGGTTGGAGCTAGGTGCCCTCGAAGGCACAAGATACATATACATATTTATAGAGGGTACTACTTAGACATTTTTGTCCTTTATATTGCTGACAACTCTCTACAGGTTTTGTGTGCTACCAAATAGATACTTTGTAGCACCTTCTATCATAACCTTTTTCTCATGTGTTTCTCTCCCTTATTATATCCCCCCCAAACGTATCTTTATGACTTTCCCACTGCCGGTTTAGTCTATACATGCTGGGATTTATCCACAGATATATCGTCCATCCAGCTTATTAGCAGAATTTTTTCATGCAGGCTATCGCTCCATTACTCTAAATCCGTTATCCTATCAGTTTAATATCGATTTAATTACCTTATCTTTTCTTTGTTGGGATTTATTGACATTTAATATCTACCAATATTAGCTTTTGTTTAGCTATTTAGAAGATCTACTCTGTCCATTAGTATCTCATTCAAAGAGACAGACCTTACAATCGATCTACCTATTATTAGACCGACTTTTTAGTTTGGTTTATTATTTGTCACTACGGATTATTGACTCTCCATATTGATTCATACCTTGGATTAGACATATATGGTACATTATTCTATTATGGAGATTTAAAGTGCCAGATCCAATATATTTATCGATCCATGTTATTGGCATTCTGCTTTTCTAGCCTGGCCTATGACCAGATATAACTGACAGGAATGGTTTTCATTTTTTGATCTGCTACAACATATTTTGTTGTTTTACTTTGATTTAGACGATCTATTTTTCTTTATAGACCTGTCTAGTTATCATTTTAATTTATCATTTTTGGGTGTGTATATGGTAGCACTTGTTTGGGTTTCATTCATATTTATTTTGTACAATAAACTTTTATTATTTTTGTATTTAGTGGCTTTATCTGGCCTCTTTAGTAGGCTATTTGGTGGCTATCTGGAATTTTGTTGATGCTTATATCTTGCATCATGATTTAGATACACCTCATTCTGTTTTCTTCATTCTTCATCTGGGGTTACCCCCCACCTTTCCTGTGTATCTAACTTGGCTCAATCTTTTCGCTGTTTTTAACATTATAAAAATCAAACAAAAATAAGGCAGTATCACTGCTTGCGGTTTGTGGCCGTGTCATTCCGCAGGGCGGCTGGAACAAATGGGCGGATTCTCGAGGGGTCCCAGGTTCGTGGCTGTGTGTCAGGAGTTGATTTCGGTAATCCTTCTGAGGTTGCCGCTTTCCCGAGATTCTGTAGGATGCTGGGTATTTCTGTATCCTCGAACACTTTCAAAGTCCCAGAATCGTGGGGGATCAGAAGACTCCTTGGTGTTCCCCATTTGTAAGGCACCTTGCATTTTGTGAGTGCTGCGGTCAGGGGTCTCAGGGACCTTCTCCAGTCTAGGGTTGTAACCGCTGGTGGTTCCCTTATTTACCACTATAATGTCTTAAAGCATAGAACTTAGTAGGGCTAACCATACAGATATCTTAGCCATAATTTTATATAGTGTAAGAGATCCTCTATTTAACATATATAAATAATTGAGAATACAATATAAAATAAGGATTGTCTTGGAAGCAATCGTTTTGTCTTTTTGGATATTTATTATATAAAAATATAAAATCCATTATAGCAGAGTTTATAAGATTAAAATACATGCTTGCAAATATCATTAATAGGTTAACATACCCTTCTGAACATGTCATCATGTCAGCCTCTCTGTCATTTTAAGATGGAGCAGCGTCTGTCTCCAAGTCTCTCCTCTGTGTCTTAACATTTAAAAGTGCACCTATTTATACCTTAGGTGTCTCCATTCTAAGGTTACTGTAGTTCAAATATGAAAAAGTAACACTTCTTTTACTTTATTCAATTTAGGACCTCCCTTAATTTGGCAAACATACAAGGCCATAACTAAAGGGTGTATACGTCATGGAAATTTTCCTGACTTAGTTCAAGATGGCATCTTAAAGTCTGAATAGGTTATCTGTTGTTTATACTAAGTCGTAAGTGTACAGTCGCGGGAGATTCCAGGATTTGGGGAAGTTCCATTAACTTGGGGTTTCCACAGTATATTGTGTACTGCAAGTGTCGTAGAATAGCCTTGAAGCTTGTTTATGCATTATTGTATTGTTATTGTAATTCGTCTGGGACAAAATGGCGCAAACATATTATGCACTGAGGTTATTGCTTAAAGAAACAGTTAAGAAAAACAATATGTTCCATTTCTAACACCTTGTCAGTTTGCAATATCTCTTAAAGACAAAGTACACAGTTTAAGAAATACAACATTTCATTCTAAAACTTTTAATATTTGCATTTGCCCGTAACACCCTCTCCATTAAACTGTGGGCATTGTAGCGCATTTCTTCCTTAAATTAGTAAACCAAAGTTCTCCAACTGTTTTTAGGTTTTTTATGCTCCCAGCATCTTAGATCATTGTTGTAACAGTAAAATATCCGTAGTGTGATCTTTGCCTGTAAAGGTGGTTGATTAAAATGAGCAAAGCTTTTGTCTGGGAAAGAATTGAAAAGAACACCAAGTTCCAGAGTAAGATATACTTGCATGGATCTGGATACGAATTGTAATCCAAAATTAAAAATAGTAATTGTATTTGTAATCCAAAGTCTGTAAAGGCCTGTAGAAGTTTACATTCCTTAGATACATTGCTGGAGGTTGTGTTTGTAGAATACCCGGGTATTAGTTGTTTAGTATTGTTTGTAGAGTCCAGCTTTCCAAATATTTGGCTAGAATTGGTTGAATCAGCATCATCTGTTATCACCGTGGTAATGGCGTTGGTATTTGTCTTTGTCTTTGCTTTTTTATTTTGGTTTTTTCCATGAAACATTTTTACACCGTTTATGATGTGTATAGATTGGATACTCTCCGATATTCTTTTACGGAATCAATTAATTGACAGCATTTCCAAGACATTGTCTTAAGTGACATGGATCCCGTTATAGTAAATGTTATGTTGATACAGCAATCGAAGTGGATTCTCAAGAACGCCTCTTTTTGCTGTATTGGAATCTTTGTAACATCTCAGTGACAGACATCTCACTGACATCAGGTGCTGTTGTGCTAAAAATGTTACAGGTAAAATCTGTGGAAAAATCTTTACATTTGTTATACTTTGTATTATAATGATAGATGAAATAGTAACATAGTTAATCTTTCTAGTGTTTTGTTTTAAAGATAAACACTCTTGTATATGATTTAGAAATATAGATAATTTGAAGCAGCAAAGTATTTACCGCCCTTGTTCACAATGGTATGTAAAATTACATTCTCTTTAAATGTAAAAAATACTCCTTTATTCAAAATCTCTCAATATATTTAGAATAGTTGCTAATTGGAAATATGACGTTAATTATCTTTCTTTGACCTGTTAGGGAGAAGACAACTTATTCCCAAATAACTACAGTTATTAGTGGCTTAAAATACCAGAAACCCCTCAAATATTGTCTTAGAAAACATTTTTTTTTTTTAAACCAAGATCTGACAGCCATTGTGGAAAGTCACGTTTGTGAGATTGGTTGCTTAACAATGTGAATCTTAATTGTTTAAGTATATTTTTCAGCGGCTGTTGGGTGTAGCTTAAGATGATTAGAATTTTTTATTATTTCTAAAAGTGAGTTAAGAAAGCACTCCAATACAATATTGAAGGTATTTATATTTTAACACTACCTTTGTATAGGTGGTTTTATGTACCTTTAACCATCACAAACCAAATAAAATTTTCTTGGTATTTGAAAAACTGATAAAATATTTGATTACGTGTATTTTAATATATATATATACATAGAGTGGTATGGATGTTGAATTTATATCTTTGACATCTTTTCACAAGTTTGCAATAGGTGACCTAACTTATCAATTTCCAAAATAATCATGTATATCACCTGGATGGGTTAATCCATAATACTCTTTTACTTTCCCTTGACTGGACTTAGCTCTGGCAGACTGAATATTTTTATCATTATAAATAAACTTTATGATAGTTGAAGTAAAGTTTCTGCCTGTCTTTCAGTTCAATTTTAGCTGTTGAAGTATTTCACTTATATTAAGTGATTATACCACTCTGCAAACTTAAACGAATATAGAATAGTTTCTGATTTAATAAAAACATTTTACATTTTCTTCTAAAGTTTAAACATTAATTATTATTGCAGTTGTTATTGCAATCATATGATCTTTAACTATCATGATTCAATTATTTATAAGGGTAATTAGCTGTTATGCTCTTATACTTTATGTCTAATATATTTGTTTGTAGGCCAGACTGCAGCTGCATATGGTATTTTAGCAATAATCTTCAATTGTGTTTCAGATATTCACAAAGTCTATCCACCTTGGTAATTAACACATTATGTGTTTATTTTATACCATTAATTATAGTATCTCTATTATATTACACATTGTCACTGACACATTTCTGATACAGGGAAAAAAATAGCATGATTGCTTTAGTAATTATAATTTTCGGTCCATGCACCACATTCTTGGAAGTCCAGAATATAGCAAGAATCCATTGTCGTTTGATTCTATGGAGCCATTTAACGTTTTGATTGGTATAGTTATACCAAAAGAGAAAGGAGTACATCGGTAGATCACATCTGCAACAGAACCATTACAGATTCCTTGTTGTATCAATGTCTCTGTGTTTATGTTTACAGGAGTTCCTTGCTTTGTAGGTATGTACATAATATGTAGAGTTTAAGAAAAGCTGCAAATCGTGCTTTAGTACAAGTGTCCCGTCAGGTTTCTGAAAGATTTTGCTGGTCTTTTTATATTCCATTCTCTTGGCAGGGCATCTGCTCTTAGTAGGCCGGTATTGTTATTATTTATTAATTGCATCAAGGTTTCTTTCGTTAATTGATGTGTTTCTACCGAATTCAAATTCATATGCCACCAAATGTCATTGTAAAGTTCATTGTTACAGAATATTGTTCCAGGATGGTTTTTCACTCCAATAGGAAATCTATATTCCTCTTCTTCTGCTCCTTCCTATAAACCACTTTTTCTGAGTTGTAGGCAACAATCTGTCTTGTACTGTGAGGTGCTTTGATAGTCAATCAGGTTTTCTCAGTACCATGTTCCATCTTGAAAAACAGCTGGGTGTTGACAGTTATCAGCCTTTATTTCTTTTTCCGGTCATCTTCTGTCTGGATACATAATTGCAATGTCCAGAATTAGCATAGCACTTCTTTTCAGCATAAGAAGGCTGTTTGCGGTAGTCACTCAATGATAAACTATATGGCAAAGTCTTTTCTTGCATCACCTTCATAGGTGCATCCAAAGTCTTTCACAAACATCTGTCCCATCTTTTTCTGTTTTCAGCATGCTTTGTCATCATTGTTGAGTCCATTATTAGGATTTGTATTAGTCCAATCACATCTTTCTCATGTATAATCGGTTTTTGGAATGATCTCAATAGGTTCCTTGTGAAATACCAGTGTAGTCAATCATTTCACTGTGAGCTGGGTCTCTCCTTATGAGATAGTTCTTGGAGGTAGTCCTCACGATCACAGAACTTGTATAGTGTACAGTCCAATTCAGTCCAGGTGCTTCCTGCTTGTTAACATAATCCCAATGCAGTTTTAAAATGACAGCTAGGGTTGATGTTATGATAATGCTGCAGATTGTAAGAAGGAGACACCATAACCAATTTTCTAGCATCCTTTTGCTTCTATCTTTGCATTTCTTTCTTACTGTATTAGATAATGCAGGTTCAGTCTGTTTTCTCCAGAGTCTTTCTTATAATGATGTTGATGATTCATTTTTCGTACATTCCATATTAACTGTGAATGTATCACGTCTGTCTGTTCATCCTTCTCCTTCACATTTGCAGGTTCAGATGTCAGATCATGATTCAGTCTGTCTATGATTCTGGTGGCTTTTCTGTCGTCCTCTGTTTGTTTTATCTTGCCATCTTTAACAGCATCCATTGTGTCAGTCAGTGGTTCTGTGAATGTCCTGTTAATATTTAGCAGGTTGTAAAATATCAAAACTTACTGTTCTCTGTTGGCTCTGATTGTTCTCTGTAGTAAAAGTTCTTGGAGTCACCCTCTCCAGGACAAACTGGCCAACAGTAAGAAAAAGTTGGTGATGCAAGGCGAGGTGGGCTGGAAAAAAAAATTCCCTAAATTTCTCTAATAGAACCAATGGTTCTAAGCTCTCCCTGGTGCAGAAATATGTTTGTCAGTGAAAAACATGTAACATTTCATATGGTGTCTCACCATTTGTATCATCAGGTATGTTGTGAATGCTTATCTGTACCATAGGAATAAATAGATACCACTGTGTGGGGCAAGCAACTAGTAACTTGGTTAATAATCATTTAACCTCAGCATTTTCCCAGACCACAACCCCACTTCTTTGGGGGTGGTTGGGGCACTGAAATCCCAAAGTAACCCAAATGTGGTTGCCCAGTTTTAGGTTTCCTTTGCAGTAACTGCAGGACCACCATCCAAATGGATGGTCCTGGGATTATCAAATGCATACTAAGGAAGTGAGACTAGAAAACATGGCATCAGAGGTTGCACTTCGCACAGGATATATCCAAGTAAACATGGTACATGCATCAACACATACAAAAACATATTTATAACCATGAGATGTTGGCAAACTTTCAATATATAGTAATTCAAAAGTATGTTGGATATTAATATTTCAATAAACAGTACATCAGTAATGTGGCAATAAGCAAATGCTTATGATTACTAAACACATGAATTACAGTATTTCCCATATTGTGACCACCAATATTCCTTTTCAGGAGTCAAAAGTACATTACCTCTCTCTATAAGAGCTTGTCCTAGCCATGAAAAAGCTTTTAGGGCAAGTCCATCTTTCCTCTATAGGAAGAACAACCAACATATTACCTTCAATGGTTATTATGTAATTAACCCCTGTAAACGATAGGAGTATTTATACGGATACCAGGTGGATAAGGTCTGGATATCCTTGCAAGCATAAACTCTGCATCATGACAGAGAGATAGGGTATGCGATGTGATCCAGTGACCACAGAAAAGCGTTGGTAGACACATTGCATCAAAGTGCCTGTTAATGACCAACTACATGAGGAGAGGGACCATGCTTTGTTATAAGCATGTCCATACACATATTACAATGCCAGGCTTTCAATTTGTTTCCACAAAGCAAAATGCAGTTGTGGATATAAACTCACGACGTATCGTAAGAAAAACTGTTTGAACACCAGACTGAGATTCGAGATCAGTGAACAGTGGACCAAAATAGATAAATGAAATCCTATCAATTAATATACTTTCTTTATATTACTTTATCCTCTGTATTAACTATGAAATATTAAAGTTAAAAACAATAACATTTAAAAGCCAACTTTTAGTGTGTATAGGAATTACAAGGCCGTTCATAATGTGAGATAAAGAACAGCTTTTTAAAACCGAATAGTCTGTGAACACAAGATGACCTTGCGCTGAAAACTCACTTGCAGGGGAAAAATAAACATTTTTTCTTTTTCTTTAGTAAATTAATTAATTAATTAAACGTAGTTAGAACCTCCCTCAAAGTCCCGATGACTTTGCAAGAAACATGTCGTCCTTAAATACTGGGTAAGTCTATTAAACAGTGACATAGCATTGTTACCATGTGTATTATGTTGTCAAAGCTATAATGTGCAGTATAACAAACTATTTATAAGTGTTGGGCAAACTGTTCATTAAAAGCCAGTAGTCTAGTGAGCTATAGAACATTTATTTATTTATTCTTTAAAGCTCTGACCTCAATCGGCAAAGCAATATTGTAATGGTGTCCATTGCAATCTGCTGTCTTATTTGCTGCTCTTAAAAATTCTGAATATGTTCAGAGATTTCTTGGGCAATGATAAATCCCCAAAAACAACAACTTTGCATTTATGCTAAACCTGCCTGTTGTAAACGTATTCTGTATATTTCTTGACATAAGAACTTGTACTTAAATCTGTTTAACAAAGTTGTTTATATTGTGGTGTAAAATAATTTTTTTATTATTATTATTTATTTTATTTTTTAACTTTGCTTAATTTTTAAAGATACCTGCATATTTAATTAAATATCCTTTATATGTCTTTATTGCATGAAATATCTGCAAATTAAGATTATATACAAAAATGCATGTTCTGGTCTGTGATTCCTTTTCTATCATTTATTTATTTTAAGTCTGGAATCGGATTTCTTTTGGGATGAGCACCCCTCTGAGCCCCCCAGTTTCAGAGGCTTCTTTAGAAGTGACCACTGAAAAGTATAGATTCTATAAAATAGATGTGAGGGGGCATTGGGCAGTAAAGTCACCTTAATTATACTTTTCATATAGCAGATATGTGATATGCAATGTGATTTAATATATCAGAGTATTATCACTTTAATTGACACAGCATTTTTTTATGCATTATTCTTTATGCATTATTCTTTTTCTTTTCTTTTTTTTTAATTTGAATGTCTGTTTAGAATATTGCAGCCTTGCAATATCAAATTAATTTTGCATTATATGTGCTTTTACAACATATTAAAATTAGCCTCTTTCAGAATTGTAGAATATGTGGTGGAACTGAATCCTCATATATGAGATTTGAAACTGTATTTTTATATCTACTCTGTGCCCTAATCTGTATTTATATACATAATTGCGGCAGCATATAGCTTTTAAAGAAGCAATTATTACACCCATCATGTGTGGTGATTGCGGACTTTTTAAAACCTACTTTTTATTTTTTATAAATCTGTTTCTGGCTTTGAGAGAGCAGGCTGCTGAATGCATGTAAATGCTGTTATTGCCTAGGCTATATACTTTTATTTATAAACAACATTGATATATTTAGATATAAACAACTTTGAAATTTAATTTTATATTTTATGAAAACCTAGTTTATGAAATTCACTGAGATTACATGTGTCTGATCTGATTACAGTCAGTAGTACAATATAATTGTTCTAATTTCTTTACTGCTAGTACGGTGGGATAGTACCACTGATTTAAGTAAGCTTTCCCTTTTAAAATTGGTGGACTTTACTGCCATTGCAATAGACTAAAGACTGTACCTGAGTAAGCAAAGTCATTATGTGCAGGAATTGTGCACTTTAAATAGTAGAATACTTATGCTATTCTAGTGAATTGGGCTGGCTGCTTAACACATCATTTAATATCTTTTGGTCACATTTAAAGCTGTAAATGTATTTAACATTTTATTTAAATAAGCCTTTAATAATTTCAGTTTAAAAGTTATCAGAGATCCTGTATAGTTACCATTTTATTTTGCCCTGATTTATCTTACATATATATTATTTTTAATCATTTTATCAATATTTATTTTTGCAGAGCATTTAGAGAAGCAAAGGATGTATAACCACCTGTTGCCCTTTTTTATAGAAGGGTAGTATAATTTAAACTCTGTTTAGGAAAAAATATGAGCTAGTTAGCATATGTTATATAAAATATATGCTGCAGTGTACTGTATTGAATGTATTTAAAAGCCATGTCTTTCTCTTTATGGCTGTATGTAATAATGTTGTTCATAATTTGGAATATAAAACAACGACTTCTCAATTCCTTGGAATGTTTACATGTCTCTATCTCCGCAACCTTGGCTGGAAATTCCAGACTCCAAAAATAGTTATGCTGTTATAATTCCTGATTTTCAATCAACAGCTAGCGTAACTGACAATATGGAAAATATCACTGTTTTCTAAAACCTTTCTTATATAGTGGACATTAGAATCCAGAACGCAGTAATGCAATAATTAAAAATCCTGTCTGTCTGTTGCATGTATGTTTTCATTAAGCCATAATGCAATTTTCTTTGCATTCTTGGAATTAGACTTCAAATTTCATCGCTCTGTCTTATCACTTTTCTTTTGACCACATTTTGCATTAATCTTTTTCCTGCGCATGCATACTAAGCAGCTACAAAGAGAACATATCCCCCTGTCTGCAATCCACTGTCCTGGAACTAACGGGCCATGCTATGCTGGTGGATTAGGCATTTGTTCTATTATGATATTAGTTAAGATCCACAATTTCAGCATTGTATGCTAATTACGTTGTACCTGGCACCTAAACTCACAGTGCCTTGTTCACATTAAAACCATCTCTAATGATGAAGATCTCTCTCTGAGTCTGGGCTACAAATAGCTCAATAGATTCTTGATATTTCAAGACTTGTGCCATGACAAAGTACTGTGTCTTCTCTTACGTATAAGAGGTTACCTAGGTATTTATTTTATATTTAAAGCTTCCAAGTACAAAGTCCCTTCGTGGTCGCCAATTGTAACCGCTGGTGGTTCCCTTATTTACCACTATAATGTCTTAAAGCATAGAACTTAGTAGGGCTAACCATACAGCTATCTTAGCCATAATTTTATATAGTGTAAGAGATCCTCTATTTAACATATATAAATAATTGAGAATACAATATAAAATAAGGATTGTCTTGGAAGCAATCGTTTTGTCTTTTGGATATTTATTATATAAAAATATAAAATCCATTATAGCAGAGTTTATAAGATTAAAATACATGCTTGCAAATATCATTAATAGGTTAACATACCCTTCTGAACATGTCATCATGTCAGCCTCTCTGTCATTTTAAGATGGAGCAGCGTCTGTCTCCAAGTCTCTCCTCTGTGTCTTAACATTTAAAAGTGCACCTATTTATACCTTAGGTGTCTCCATTCTAAGGTTACTGTAGTTCAAATATGAAAAAGTAACACTTCTTTTACTTTATTCAATTTAGGACCTCCCTTAATTTGGCAAACATACAAGGCCATAACTAAAGGGTGTATACGTCATGAAAATTTTCCTGACTTAGTTCAAGATGGCATCTTAAAGTCTAGGTTATCTGTTGTTTATACTAAGTCGTAAGTGTACAGTCGTGGGAGATTCCCGGATTTGGGGAAGTTCCATTAACTTGGGGTTACCACAGTATATTGTGTACTGCAAGTGTTGTAGAATAGCCTTGAAGCTTGTTTATGCATTATTGTTATTGTAATTCGTCTGGGACAAAATGGCGCAAACATATTATGCACTGAGGTTATTGCTTAAAGAAACAGTTAAGAAAAACAATATGTTCCATTTCTAACACCTTGTCAGTTTGCAATATCTCTTAAAGACAAAGTACACAGTTTAAGAAATACAACATTTCATTCTAAAACTTTTAATATTTGCATTTGCCCGTAACAGGGTTGCCCTGGAAAAATCCGGGTAGAACGTCAGCTGGTGATCTTCAAACGTGCAAGGCGACTTACTACGGGTGGCAGCTATGAACTCTTGCTTGTCAGGGCCAGCTTGGAAGCGTATTATAATGTCCCTGTGTGCTCCTGTAGCTGTTGCGGGTGAAGCTGTGAGCCTGTAGCAGCTGTCCAGTTGCATCTGTTTGGTTTGTTTGTCGGGGAACAACTGAGCCAGAAGCCTCCGGATCAGGTGAGGTATTTCAGTCATAGTAACTGTGTCTGGAAGGCCATGGACCTTTACGTTCTTCCACCTCCTCCGGTCATCCATTGTGGCCATGTGTTGTCGTGCCTTTGCTTGTTCGGACTGTAATGCGGTGAGTTCCCACTCTAATTTTGTGAGTCTTGTCTCATGGCCTGCTGTGGCCACCACCACATTGTGTAGATGAGCCGAGACTCCGTTAATTTAGTCTCTGAAGGCGGAGATATCGGTGGCGATATTACGGCGTATTTTGTCCAGGAGGGCCTTTAGGGTGGTTTCTGTCACTGGGGT